TGTGAATATTTTTTCATATTGCAGATATGATGACAAAAACATTCTTTTTTTCAGTTCGCCCCTGGTTCAGAACAACCTTGGAAAATCTGACAACTGTTGAAGCTGGACAATCTTTGTTGCTGAATTGCTTGGCAGAAGGAGACCCTCAACCAACTGTTCAGTGGGAGAAGGATGGACTTCTGAGTGCCTTTGATCACAGCAGGTCTGTTCAATTTCCCCTTACATGCTTGGTCTTAGTGTCTAATATGATTGGTGATGATTATTATATGTCTTATTTTCAGATTTAAAGTCCATTCAAATGGCACCCTCACCATCTCTCAAGTTTTACCTCAAGATATTGGTGTTTATGGCTGCATAGCTGGCAACCCTGCTGGATTCACCAGGCAGGAAGTTCAGATAGTTGTGCAAGGTATTTTGTTCATTATTACTTGATAACTAAAACCTTCATAGTTCAAATATGCCTCCCTATATCAATTACTTTCAAGTTCTTGTAGGAATGCCCTGAGAATCAGTGCATTAAAAACCTCCCTAACTCAAAGGCTTTCCTCCTACTTGAACCTTCATAACTTAAATTTTCTGGAGGCCTTTTTTCTATTATTTATTAACACAGGGAAGAGAAAAACCTTAATATGTATTTTGATGGGTTTTGAAAAGAAGTACAGTACAGTCAAACCCTGTGCTGAACAAACATTGACGGTTTAACAGGGTTTAACGGGGTTTGACTGTACAGTACATTAAAAGACTACTTGAGGGAATAAACACTTGCTTTCAACTTCAGTGTCCTGTCAACTCATTTAAGAAGCAATTTAAGGCCTAGAATATCACCAATCACAATTTCATGCATACAGGTGATACCTTGCAATTCAATGTCCCTCAATTCATTCATCCCGTAATTTGATGGTCGAATTTGCAGTGATGTTGACTTTCAGTTCAACCTCTGTCCTGCAATTGGACCTGCTTCATGTCACTTTTCTAGTGTTTTTGTCCTGTTATTACTTAATTTTACATGGTGTATTGCAATTTTGCCATTTTGCAATTCAAACCTGTCCAGCAGTAAATTATGGGAAAATTGTGGGGTACCACATGTACTTATTTCTTTAACCCAACACAAATGCTTGTGTCCCTAAGTCACTTTTTTCTGGTCCCTTGAAGTTCAACCTAAACATGTTATACTGTGTTATTATTCTTTGATAACCCTACCCAAATAGGGGGGCTATTTTTGCTGTGACCCCACAGTAGGTGCACACCAGGGTCACAACTGGAGCATATGGGATATTCTGGGGGTACAAGTGCGCACTCCTGTAGAGGAAATTTTGCTACCATTCCAGGGTTACACTTGGTGCAAAAATGTGAAATAACAGGAGCATCACACAAGTGCACCAACTGTTATCTTGGTGTAACTTATTTTATTTTTTAATGTGACCCTGAGTAATCCTGGTGTGAACACACAATTGGTGCACATTGGGGATATGCATGTGCAACAGAAGAACTTTGGTACACTTCAGGTGCACAGCGGGGTCACTGTGTAGAATTGTGAACAAATCCCGAGTGTGCACCAATTTCCCCACTTGGGTAATAATGTGTGTTTATCTTGTATAGGAACCATGGCAAACCTACAAGACACCAGGGATGAGAGTGGGATGATCAAGACCATAGTCATCACTCTCAGTGCAGCTGCAGGCTATATTTTCTTGGTCTTCCTCCTGATGGCCTGGTGTCGCTGGAGAAGAGCCAGGAGAAAGCAGGGCCAAGTTGGACACTTGCCTGTTGACCATTTCGAAGCCAAGGATAACCATGGACAAGTTGGAGATGAAATGGTTCCTTTGACTTTGAACAGACCTGCATCTTCTCCACGCACTATTATAAGACAAGATGGACACTATTCAAAATTGACATCAGTGGCAACTTGTAGTTCACCAGGCATAGGAGCAACTGTGTGGGACAGGCGGTACTTGCAGAATCTCATGGTCCTTGGTGGGTACATACACATACAGTATATGTATTAAGTACCATTCCTTATTGTTAATATTGATTGCTGCATTAAATCAAATGTCATGTGCCCTTGCATGAGATGCAAACCCTCCTTTTTGAGCTGCAAAATTGATTAAAAACTTATCTCTTCATTAGTCATAACACGTGAGTCCCATCAAGTTTTCAGTTAAAATGTAGTTCACAATTCAAGAATTACAGTTGCTGAAAATATTACCTTATTGTTTTCTCAAGTGGTATGAAAACACAATCCTTTGTTCAATCACTAACCAGCATATCTATACTTTTAGTGAATATTCCAAATGGTCTTCATCTTCTTAAGCACAAAAAAGGAGAATGTCCTTTTACCACACAGTGTTGCTAACCAGAATAGCTCAAGGTGGAATGCCATTAGAGTGAGTGAGTGCACATAGAAGTGCTTTTCTATGAGTGAGTTCTTGGTAATCATAACCATACAAGTACATTATACAGTACTCAAAATGAAGAGAGAATTCCATTGTATCCCATTTGTATCCATGATGTGATCCAAGATTCCAAGAATACTGTATGCAAGAAGTTTGAAAAATCTGCAAAAATGTTGCTCTGAAGTCTGAAGCACACCACCTTTTTGATCCTGCTTTTTTTTAAATACACTTGGTGATTGAGTAAATAAAAGATAACATGTATCATTACAGGAAAGGGGGAGTTTGGTGATGTGTACTTGGCAAAGCACAATCCGCCTTCTGCAAGCAATTCTAGCACAGCTTCTTCATCAGAAACCCTGGTGATGGTCAAAGCCTTGCAAGTTGATAGCCCCTGCTTGAACATGGCATTTGATAAACAAATGGACACTTTCCAGAGACTGCACCATGCAAACATAGCATCACTGCTTGGAAGTTGCTCTGAATTTCCCAGACTCATGATACTGGAATATTCCAACTGGGTAAGACCAACTTTTACTTAATTATGCTTGAAAAATAAAATGGTTTGAATGGGATGAGTGGATTATTGTTTTCCTATGAATACAGGGAGACTTGAAGCAGTTTCTATGGGCAACCAGAGCTGATCATGTGACAGGAAATGTGTCTGGAAGTCAGCATCCATTTCCAATCCCCTTGACTTGCAGACAAGCTGTAAGCATGAGCTTGCAGATTGCAAAAGCCATGGAGTGCATGGCAAGGCACCACATGACCCATGATGACTTGGCTGCTAGAAACTGTCTAATTGGGTCAGACTTTCTAGTCAAGGTCTCTTGTCCTGGGCTTTCCAAACACCCCTACCAACATGAGTACACTGTTGTCCAACATCAGGTTTGTTTTGAAAAATAACCAGTATCTCACTGATCTGATAGATTGGACTGTCTTTCTGGATTTTTTATTTAATTGGCTTGAACCAAAAAAGTAAATAAAATCAATATTTTGGTTCAGTTGGGAATATCTCACAGCAAATTTACAAAAGAAAAGACTACCATATTTACTTGAGTACCACGTGCCCTCAAGTAAGGCGCGCACAGGGGTTTCTCAGTTGAAAATTCTGCAAAAATCTTATACCCGAGTAAGACGCGCACCCCAATTTTTAGTGAATCTAAAACCATAAAATTTCAAAAATAAAAATAAAAAATTTGACTTTAGGCGTGAATTGAACAAAAATCTGATGAATTTTCAACTTTTTCAGAACAAAAGTGTTTTCTTGTTATATTTTTTCTAAATTTCTCCATTATAATTAAGTATAATGCAAACATAACTTCCTAAAACTTCTTGAAAATTTTGTACCTGCTTATGACGCGCACCCCTTTTTTTCTTCTGAAATTTGGGAAAAAAGGTGCACGTGGTACTCAAGTAAATATGGTATTACTTCTGAATATTCATGCATTTTAGTAAACTGGGCCAAAAAAGATGGGTTGAATTGTACTAGCAGGGGTTTTGAAAATAAAGTATGTGTTCATTGAGTTGTAAATAGTGTTTATGTTGTTTTTGCAGGTGCTGCCTGTGAGATGGCTGCCTCAGGAAGCCATTTTTGAGGGCAAGTACACAACCAGGTCTGATGTTTGGTCATGGGCCTGTTTAGTGACAGAACTGTTCACCCAAGGCAGCATGCCCTTTGCTGGCCTCACCAATGACCAGTTTTTACAAGCCATGGCTAATGGCTCACTGCGTTGGCAACCCCCTGCAGGCTCACCCAAAATGGTGCAGGTTTTGTTGATGCAATGCTGGTCCCAAAATCCCAGAGACAGGCCATTGTTTTCTACCATTGTTCACTCATTGGAGCATTGTTTTGACACCACTGTTTGATTGTGCTTGTGCTAGTCATCCTGCGTTTGAGCTTTGTTGTAACATTGATGTTTATATAAAGAAATGAATTGCTTTCATCACATATGAGCTGACAAGTTGATAAAAATGGCCTTCAAGGACACAATTGTGGGACAAAGCCGATTGAAGGGACAGGGTGCAACCACAGGTTTTTTTTTTCTACCAGGACTTAGAAGCCAGAAGGACCCGCAGAAGATATTGTTTCCACGTAATCAGCTCTAATCAATGACATGTTTAACCCTGGGATGGTGGCAGGTAAATTTCCATTGTGCAGTATTGTTGGGAAATTTTTTGCTTGTTTATGCATTCCAGTTCGACTGAAGGTCACCAAAATACAGCTTTGCATGAGTAACAGAAGTCTGGAAAAATCAGAGAAAGTGGAAATGATTGTTTTCAAAATCCCTCAATGTTAATCACATGGCAGGAATGGAGAAAAAATGTCACCCAGTGAATAATTTTTTGCAACAAATTTTCTGCAGTAATGTAAGAAATAGTCAGGATTTTTCCAGACTTTGGCTCTTCTGATCATACTAGGTTTTTTATTCTGTTTTTACCTGTGGCACAAAATTTTGAAAATTAATCCCAACAGCGCGCGCTGCCCAATGGTTAAAAATCTTGATGAAATTGTATGACCATGTGTGGCTTGGCACCTCCAGCTTGTGTTTACATAAAGAAATGAATTGCTTTCATCTCATATCTGAGACCCTGAAGGACCAGGTGTTTGCCTTGATAGAAAACTTGGGGATGTGTATTTGCTCAGACCAACTCAGTAGTCAAATTGTGAAATGTAGATCAAAATTTTAGCCACTGCTGCACCTCCATAAGAGTTGTCAGAAACCACATCCATCCTCAATTGCAATTCAATTTCTTGAGGTCCAGCCAATGACCTGATCAGAGAGACTGAAGCCTCATTTCTCCTGTTCTGCTTGAGTCTGAAATGGAGTCTGGTGGCTGCTTGGACATGTGGTGGAGCCCTGGCTGATTCTAGGTCCAAAGAGAAATGGACAGAGATGTCTCCATCCCTTGGACCAGTCATGGTGAACAGGTCTGCACCATCACTTTCTAATGGTATCCTGGCATTAGCCCTGAGAGACAGGAAGTTGTAGGAGTAGCTCCAGGGCTTTTTCAGACACTCTGTGTCTCTTCTGGCACAAGGTGCAGTTGAGGCCAACTTACAGCGACTTTTGGAAGAAACCATGGAAGATAACAATTATTTTACTATTCTTTGGCATTGAAACCAGCACAAGCTTCCAGCAAAAGGACTAACATTTTCAAAATTTATTTTGTAAGTTGCAACTTGGCTACCCATCACATCTTAACATGACAAAAATGTATTTTAAAACAATGATGTCTCAACCTAAAAATATTGCCTTTTAATTCTCAGAATGGGTAGGTTCATGACTACAGTATTTCGAAAAGGGCATGAACATGTATGAATGTATAAAAATGAAAATTTTTCTTTAAAATACAGGGTGTTCCAGAAAAAAAGCTCCAGCTTTGAATCTGCATAATTAATTTACTCACTGAAGACTGATTTACTTACTGATTCACCTTTATTTGGTACAATGACACATATCTGGAGTTTTCAGCCTATATAATTGGGATAATAGTCAAGAGTCATATCCCATTTTCAATTACTGAAAATTTGCAATACAGTATTTTGAAATAAAAATCAGAAGTTGATTTTTGAGTGGAATTGAAGATGAATTCAATTAATTCTAAAAATTTCCATATTAAACTTGCTTGCCAAAATGGGTCGAAAATTTTTCATGCGCATCAAATGTAACAAGCATGCAGGTAAAATTAAAAATTTGAAATATTGTGCACCTGCAACATTTTAAAGCTAATTTTTCTCCCAATGCAGAATCATGGAACAGAGGTTTACATGGTACCTGGATAAATACACATAATTTTTTCAGGCAAATGGTGTCTTTATCTAAATCTTCAGATTTATACAGTATTTTTAAAACTTTATGGACTCACTTGGTTCTGGTGGTATCCCTGATGTAGCCTGGTGGACACCTGATGTCATGACAGCGATGACTTCCTGGTGCATTAGAACAAATCTGATCTTCTCTGCAAGGATTGCTGTGGCACTCATTCACATCTGCAAATATAGTTCACAATGCAAATATATACTCTTTCAAATTTCACTATTTATCAATTGAATAATGGATTCATTTTAGAAGTAATACCTTCACACCGACGTCCATCAGAAGACAGCTTGTATCCTGCAGGACAAGAACATTTGTAGCTTCCTGGAGTATTGACACACATGCCAATGCATAAACTGGTACCGACTGCTTTGTAATCTTCGCACTCATCAATATCCGTGCATGATCTTGAAATAAAATTGAATCAATCGCTTGAATACTCAGGATATTTATTGGTAGAAAAAAAACAGAAGCTGCGTCAAAAATTACCTTTTGTCGGGGTTCAACTTGTAGCCCAACTCACAAGTGCAGTGATACGAGCCCCAGAAATTGACGCATTTTTGCTGGCAAATATTATCCACTTCTGTGCATTCATCAAGATCTGTAAAGAAATTTTCAATATCAAAAAACTAGCACCTGAAGAATAAAGAAACGCATTTTCGGTCAATAAGTTGCGAAGGTTTCAGAAAATGCTTTTGAAAAAAGCGTTCGTGGAAGATAATCAGAAAAAGAAACTGTTTTCGCTATTTTTGAAAACCCAGTGTGACCTTTTTAAAAATTGCACATTTTGATAATCAAACAAAATTGATACTAGAAAAATTCAGATAAAAAACCATAGGGAAATTCACTAAATGCAGTTTATTCTGGAAAAATGTCTCCCATACGTTTTCATGCCTCATCGGACCTTCGTAATAATATTTTTCAAATGAGTTCAAACTGAAATAATTGAATCAAATCCAACAGAAGTAAGAACGCTAAATAATTGCTTTATGCAAAAAGTTGTTCAAAAATATTCTTCAGGGTTTCAGAAGAAAAATTTCCTCAATCAAGCCAAGCAGTTGAATATTCTATAGTTCACGAAATTATAGGAGAAACTCGGAAGCAGATTATTTATTTTTTACTGAGCGAAAGAATAAATCATTGGTATTCTGACTTTGAGTGACATCTATACACGTATTGCGTCTACACTGAAAATTTGTGAAAATAAACGAAAATACAGTATAAATATAAGTAAAGCACGATAACTTGCCAATACAGGTTCGTCCATCCTCGCCCTGTTTGAATCCCTGTTTGCAATTGCACCTGTAGCTGCCAATCGTGTTTTCGCACTCGGAACTCCTGGAGCAGACCTGAGACCCTCTGTACCCCTGGCACTCGTCAATGTCCCGACACTCAGATGTCACTGCTGTCGATGACGAGGTTTTCATCGACGCTGCCGTTGCTCCCGCAAATCCGTAGGTCCGCTCAAACCCGCTCGGACAATCGCACGCAAAAGTTCCAGGCAGATTTCTGCAAACTTCCCCGGCTTTGCAATCGTCTGTTCCTTCCTCGCATTCATTCACATCTTATTTTTGCACACAACCAATGCCAAAAAATTATCAAAATTATGTTCTGTTATGAATGATATAAATTTTGAAAAAAATCATCAGAACCTTCGCAACTTGTCCCAGACGAATCAATCCGCAAACCAGTGCCACATTTCAGCAAAAATTCGCAGCGAAATGAACCTGGAGTATTCACGCAAACCTTGCCCATAGGGCAAATACCATACTGCAGGCATTCGTTGATATCTAAACGAGGTGATGCATAAATGAAGAAAATTGGTGCATAAATAGAAAAAAAAAGAACACGAGGAAGGAAAGCATTTGCAATCATCAGATTAATGGTCGTCCCAACACAGAATTTAGCCATTTAACGTTAGTACCAATTTTCGAGCAGATAGAAGTACTGCATTTCAGAACAGCTTGAAGTTTATATGTTGGAATGAAAGGTTATTTTATATTTAATCTCATAATATTCTATCAAAGTATATTTTTTTATTGATCAATCAAAACCTCAACTCGGCCAAATTTTCTACAATCGGAAGGGCTTGTTCTTTGTATCTTCATAATGTACCTAAATATTACAAATACTAATGCTGTAATGTTGAATTTCGGTCGACGATTCATCTTTGATCTTGCCATATTAATAAAAAAGGGATAATAAAATACCTTACGAAAGCAATGACATTATATACAGTATTTGGATTTCTTTGTATAAAAAATTCAGCTGAATGTAATTAGCTTTACAAGTTTTTATTTTAGAAAATTCTATGTATTTCTGAAAATTTCCTACAAAACGCCTAGATTTAATCTTCTCGTCGGGCATGAATTTCAGATGGGCAATATTTTACAAAGGATTTTAATATTTCTAAATTTTTCCTTTCATAATTGAGAATGTCGTTCAGTTGTCGTTCGAATCATCAACATCTGGCCAAATATCAGCTGATAAATCGACAAAAAATGTCGCTATAATCTGCTGATATTATTTTTTATATACAGTAACATCATCAGCTCTCACTCCATGAAAATCTAAAACTCTAGCGACATCTATGTAACGGCAAGATAAAAATTTCCCACAACTCTTTCACCTTTCTTATTGGTACTGTACAAGAAAAAAAAAATGTAGAAAATTAACCTTCGCAGTCCTTGGGATTGGAAGCACGTTTCCGGAAGCCGACAGCGCAGTCGGGTGTCGAGATCCGGTCACACCTGCCTGTCACCTCGTTCATTTCCTCGTCGACACCGGAACAACGACGTCTCACGCATTTGAAGGAACCCTCGGTGTTCTCACAGGAGAAACCCGGGCCCAAGGCTTCGCAACCCGCTGTTCCCAACGCACATTCGTCGTCATCTTTTAATTCGGCGTATACCAAAGAAAAAAAAAGGTATTCTAAAAGTTGAATCATCCCACGTTTAAAAAAAATCATCGTGTGAAATTTTTTCTTCGTAGGATGAAAAAAAGGAATCTCGAGAGTGTCCACGCAAATATTTCGTGCTGTGGAAAAGTTTGCGTTGATTTTTGTGTGCTTCGAATTATGAACATGTAAAGCGTTTGAAAAAGTAAATCTGAATTCTTTGCAATTTTAAGAAGTCCTTTCCAAAAAATTGAACCTAATCAGTATTTTTTTTTCTCCTGAAATTCGAGTCAGAATCCCGGAAACGATTTTATATCAGGAAAGAAGCACCCTAAATTTAAAAAGTCCATGCCAACAAGTCCACAAAAATTTCCAAGGTGAAAAAAACCTTTTCCAAACCAGAAAGAATATCGTGATATCCAAATTTTTGAATTTGTAAAAAAATTAAGCTGAACTTTAGTACTTCAAAACTAGAGTAGATTGCAAAAAACAAATTGCATGATGTTACACAAGTAAATTTTTCTGCGCAGATCTTCTTTAAACGTTATGTGTCTAAAATTTAGCAGATTTCAGTGATTTTCATCAGCATTTATAAAAATTGTGCTAAAAAATATTCTTACCTTCGCAGGCATTTCGTGCTGAATTCAAGGTGTAACCTGTTCCACAACTGGTGACTCGAATGCAGGAAAACGAGCCAATCGTGTTGTCACAACGTTGTGAAGGCAAACACATGTCCTCATTTTGTTGGCATTCATTTATATCTGAAATATATATATTTTTACCAATTCATCACATGGAAAAAATCACTGCAGAGAATAATTCACTCTATTATCCCCCAAAAATCTCTTCTTACGAGGCAGAAAAGTATGCATGAAATAAACCGCCCAATAAATTTCATGAAATAAAAAAAAACTTTCGCAAAAGGATTTGATTTGAAAAATATTGCATGCAATATAACGCAACTATTTATCAATTATGTCACTTTTTAACTTTCTGAAAATTTCAAAACTTTTTCACCTTCACAACTGACAGTTTTCTGGTCCCACTGGAATCCAAGATGACACAAGCAAACGGCTTTTCCTTGACGCACGATGCAATCGCCGTTTTGGCAAGTCGATTGTGTGCAAATACTCATTTTGTCGTCATTCCCTTTCAGAGAAAAAAATTAACATGGCAAATTTTCTGGTTTTTCAAAATATAAAAAAAAATCTTCTTGAGCTTTCTCGAAGGCACTTTTTTGAGCTGGAAAAGTAATCTCATTATTATTCTGAAACCCAAGAACATTTAAGAAAATATAGGAAAGATATTCACATTGGCAGTTTCGAGTTGCAAAATTGTAAGCCTGTCCAGGAGGACACTTCCATCCGTTCTCGTTATTGTCCACGCTGAAAGCTGAAAAGTTTGACTTGAAGTGAAATTCAAAATTGAAGTTTTTTGATTTTTTTTTTTACATTGACAACGATTAGAGACGAATGAAAAAGCAGTTCCAGGAGGACAAGTTGTCTCGTAAACTGAAGTGCATTCGCAAGTATAAGATCCGTAAGTGTTGACACACTGGGTTCCTCTCCCACACGCGTTATTCTTCGATCCGTTTTCGCATTCATTTACATCTGTCAAGAAGAAAAAAAAGTTGTTAACGTTTTTATCAATTTTTCAATCATTTATTGAGTAATTTATTCAATTTGAGCATGATTTCTCACCCACACAAGCAGTGTTGTCTCGATTGGGTTCCAGTCCTGCCCCGCAGAGCATTTTTTCATCGCACACGTAACTGCCAATTGTGTTGATGCAAGTTTGCAAACGGTTTCTGCATATGTTTGATTTGTTGGTGCATTCATCAAAATCTGAAACACGTAAAAAATTAATTTTTCTGCCCTGACGCGGGAAATATAGGCTACCTTTAAAATATTTGTGCAGGCAGAGGTTTTCAAACTGTAACTTTCATTTTTATGAGTTGTCCATGACAGTGACACATTATTTTGCCTTGAGTAGATGTCACTGGCAGTTTCAATATAATTTAAATTCAACTTCAAGACGTCCAAATGACGGGTTTCTCTTGTGTATGAAAGCAAACTGTTGCAACAATTTCTTTAAAAATATTCGAAATTCTGCGAAAAATTATTAGGATGATTTTTTAAACATTTCTGATTAATTTAATAAAAATTATGATGTCCTTGTGCATGATTATCAACTTTCACCAGGAATGAATTTTGCGAGGGAATCTTCTAGACATAAATTCCGGGCTTTAAGATTTCTGAACACCCAGATTAGATATGCTTATAATAAGATGCTTCAAAAAATGCAATACAGTCCACCCCGCACAACGGACTCCCTGCACATTTGGACTTTTGCACAACAGACCTCCTCTGGAGGCGGTTTTCCCTCCCACTCAATGGACTAAGTCCGCATAATAGACTTCTGTTGGTTTAAATTGATGGTAAAAAGTAAAAATTTCAACTTTTTAATAATTGAATTTGCATAGCAGACTTTTCATGCAACAAACTAATCTGTTGCGCAAATCAAGTTTGTTGTGCAGGGGTTGCCTGTTAAATGAGAATGGTGGGGGTTTTCCCTTCTTTCTGGAACAGAAACAGAAAATCAAGTTTCAAGTGATTGTGTGAAGCAGTGTAGTGAAATGTTAAAAGGTGACTTCTAGGGATATCTGTTAATTTTTAAAAGATGCATCAACTAAACTTGAAAAATTCCTTACCGCACAGCAGCTATATTCAATCTATTTTTAAATGGATGAATAAAGTAAGGGGATTTTTTTCTTACCAATGCATTCTTTGGCGGAAAAGCTGTATTGGAATCCGATGGGACACGTCTTTTTTGTCAATTGAGAAGAAGATTGTGGAAGACAAAAATATGAGCCAGGTGTGTTGACGCAGTGCAGGACTCCTCCTGGACACGGACCTGGACCAACTCCGCACTCATTCACATCTGATGGAAATAAGAAATAAATGCTCCGCCGATTTGTCATAATTTAAATAAATTCAGAATTTAATCGATTTTGCATATATTGTACCTTCGCATTTTTTCAAGACGTTGTTGTAGGCGAATCCTGGTCCACAAGTTGGCACGGTTGATGCCAAAGGTGTGCAGAAATACGATCCGGGTGTGTTGACGCATTCGTCCCTGAGAATATCGCAATCGTCCATCCTTTCCAGACATTCGTCGATATCTGGACATGTCCCGAAACCCCTAGTTTATTTTTGTCACCTAGGTGTCGCTTTTATTTTTTAAGTTATAAATGTGACCAGTTTTTTTTTCTGTGCACAAGCAACCGCTCTTCTTTTTACAGCTATAACATTACTTTCATTACTCTTCATTTTCCACAAGAGATTGGAAAGTTCTATAATACTGTTATCCAAAACTATGAGAACAATTCAAGCAATTTTGATGATCAGTCACTGTCAAGCTTTATTATTACAGCTGAGGACTTGAATCAGAGGTTTAAATTGTTTTCTGCAACTTCCAAAGGAAATGCAAGAGTTATTCCATGAGAGTATAATAAATGAGTTTATTTTATCCTTCACACACAGTAGGTACAATACAATTGCTGCAGAGCAAAGCAATGTGGACAAGGTGTTTGTTCAGTCAGGTGCAGTAAACTTAACTCAACATAAAATGCACCTGTTTATATAGCTTTGACTGGCCAAGGTCAAAGAACGTGCATAGAAACACATTTGGATAGAGGGCATTATACGTTGTTTCTGTAAAAGGAGGGAAGCATGAGGAGTTATTGAGAAAGTATTCCATCTACAGTGGGATTGTGAAATATAATTGCTAGCGCACCAGGCGCAGTCAAGCTTAGCAGAAATACATTAGCTTAGAAGGGTTGTACAGAGGAAAGTGTTGTATGTTGTAGTTGCTATTATGACTACAATATAATAAATTAAATGATTTACCAAGCAAACATTTTCTTGATCTTGAGAAGTTTTAAAAGAAAAAAGTTTGGGTCTAAATAGTTCCCTTGTGAAGTTTTACTTTTCTAGCTAGGAAAATGGATAAAAGCATTCTCATCAACCAAAGAAACCAGTGATATTGAATCTCACATTATTATTGGAAGAATTTTGAATTTGAATGTAGATTTTCCTTTTGTGTTTTGAAAACCAAAAAGTTGAACAACGTGTTTTGCAATCCAAAGACTGTAGTTCAGGTCAGGATATGTGAGAATCGACTGAATATTTCGAGTTTCAAGGTTGAAGCGACATCTATCTTACTTTTGGGAAGCATGATATGTACAGTGCCCACAATTCTATACGTTATGATCAATTTTTTCATCAATTGATTTTTACAAATCTTTATACAAACCCATGCAAGAAGCAGAGATGATGTTGAATCTCAGTCCTGGTGGGCAAATTAATTCGCACTCATAAGCCCCCTGGGTATTTTTGCACGTCTCTGAAACTGGTTTGCAGTTGTCCAGTTGCTCCGAACATTCATCAACATCTAAAATTGGAAAATAAACATTTGCCGTCTTATTCCAGAACATTTCTTCATGCTAATACAGTATTTAGTTCACCTTTGCAATTTCTGTTGACAGGATCCCACTTGAACCCAGCTGGGCACGTGGAATTGCCAATTCCTTGGCAAGAAAAGCTGCCCTGGGTGTTGATGCATTTTGAAGCGTCTCCACAGGTGTGGATTTCTTCCTCGCATTCGTCCACATCTTCATGAGACAAATGGCAATCATCATTGTTATTGGCAGAAAAATCAAGCTTCAAAAGGAAGCTGGGAAAATTGCACATAAACAAAAAAAAGATTTGCATTTCACCTGCGCAATCTTGTTTGACCAAACTGAACCTGTATCCCATGGGACAAATGACACGGGTTTCCGAGCCGATGACAGAGGCTTGCAAATTCTTGCTCGATTTGGCATTTTTGTCCTTGAATACCCGATAAAAGTCGTCAGCAGATTCCACGACGTTATTATTGCTTTCTGTGAAACCCAGAGCGTCGGTTTCGCAAACATAGCTGCCCACTGTGTTTTTGCAGGCGGAATTCGGCTGTGGGCAAACGTCTTCCTGGATGTCGCATTCGTTCACGTCTGCCAAAATATTTTTAGCGCACAATTGTTTCTTCATTAATTTGTTTAGGATTTATGCAACGTTTATTAAATTACCGAAGCAACTTTGCCCATCGGGGCCGATGACGAAACCTGCTTCACAAGAACAGGTCACCGTATTTCCGGGAGTTGTTAAAGTACAAATTTGCTCGCAGAAATCGTCTTCGCACGTCAGCCTGAAAGCAAACAGAAAATTTTATAATTCGGAAATATAACATGTTTTTACCTTATGCAAGTTTTTTTCCTTATGACAGGAATATGAAGAACACCCTCGAACATTTTCAAAACTCATTTCGGGCCTGCGAAATATCTGAGTGCAGTAGAAAATGCGACTAATTTGCATTTATTTTTTAGGGAAAATCTCAGAGAAATTTTAAAATTAATGTTTGCTAATTTTCCACAAAGAACAGATTTAATTTTTTTTAAAGCGAAAATGGGTTACATGTGTGAGCAAACCCAATTCAGGACAACCTCAGGGTGAATTGGAGGGACATTTGAACTGCCAGTGACATCTACCCTCACTAGAAGCATTTTACACTGTATTGGACAGAAGGTAGTGATGCGTATTGGAAATTATTTTTCATTTGAATTTTAAAAATTTCAGAGCAAATTAGTAAATTTTTACTTCTGATACACCCCTGAAGGAGGAATTCTCTTCTTTATTTGAATTTTTAAAAATTTAAATTTTGCAAATTTCGGTTTGTTGATTCTTTTTGACTATATAGTGTACCTCCTGCCGGAAACATCAGAGGCATTCTTGATGCAAGACTTGTCGTCAACTGCGAGAGAAAATCCGCTGTAACATTCGCACTTGAATCCCGAATCCCCGATCGGCACGCAAATGTGCTGGCACAATTGGCGAGGATACTTTTCGCACGCATTGTCAGCTGGCACTTGTACCGACACCCGCTGAACTGCTCTGCGTCTCCCAGCGTTATTGTTGTTGCTGCTGCTGCTGGTGTTTGACGAATAACCTGCATTTTTTGTCGAAACAAATCGATCAGTCGGATTTTTTGATGTTCTTCTCGACATGAACCTTTTTGCTGTGCAAACTTTCGTGTTTATTTCCGGTCCAAACTCCGACGTTTCCGGCAGCGTCTTGCATTTCCTGGCAGCACTTGTACTGGGCATTTGACCAAATCGGGCCGAAAACACTGCCTGCAGTGAACTTGAAGGACGTGCAGTTCATGCCGCCTTTGGCAACGATCAGCCCGGATTTGCATCCCATGCAACAGCTCTGCAAATTTTTATTTTTTTTGGATTTTTTTTCAATTAGAGAGAAACAGAGAGAAGAGGACACTTTTCCCAATAACGTGTGTCATATCTTTAAAACCCTGAGAATATGAATTTGATCTCGTTTTGTTACTAATTTGCAAAAGATTTTTATTTTGAATCAAGTAGGTGCAGCGTGTAATGTTTTTTTTTTCTTCTGAGGATTTGGAATTGAGCCATCCGTTTATATCCATTTTTCAAATATATTCTATTCAATTATACAGTATATGTGACTGAAAAAGGTTGATCAAATACTTTTTATTGTCAATTGAATGCGCTTGAGATGGTTGAGAAGTAAAAACGAGAAATCTTTAATCATAAATATGTTATTCGATATTTTTGTTGTTGTTTTGTATTGAAGAATTTATGCTGTCAAGGTCGGAAGCTGCGACAATTTTAGAGTTTTATGACACTCGAAGTATCATTTCGTTACATAAAAAAGCATTCGAGAGGTTATTTGTGAAAAATGTGGGTTATTCAAATTCACCAGACCATCATTTTCTTTCCTGTTGCGTAAGTCAAAAAAAAAATTTAACTCTTCCATTGATTGATGTGATATAATAAGCTAGAATGGTTTACAGGGATTCCAAGAAAAAATGCGAAATTCAAATGAATAATAAATTTTATCTCGAACGATTTTCTTGAACCTTCGCCAACTTTTTGAGAATCCTACTGTTTTTTCTTTGTCCACTTCAAAATTATTGCCACTTTCAATACTGTAGTAAAGAAAAGATTTTTAACTACAATATGATGATTAATGAAAACTTTTTTCTCGCCAACCAACGTTTATAATTCAAGCCAAGTTTCCTTTTATGAATCACCAAATATGTTATACTCAATCACAAAATAATATCCCGTATTCACGGAAATACAGTAACATCTTGTTATATATCGAATTTTTGTTTATAACAGATTTGATTTTATAGGTCCCTGTTCAGCAATAGTCGCAATGTTATTTTAATTTCATTTTAAAGAATTTTACTTCACGTACAACGAACCTTCTTATAACTTCCCAAATGCTTCTTGTTTAACGAATATTATTGTATGTGACACAAACAATATTTTAGTCGTACAAACATTACAATGAACAGGCGGAATTCAATTAAAATATGCAGGTGGAATCTCTCTACAACGATCTTGTCTAGAATATTTTTGTCTGCATAATGTTTTTCAATAGAAGTTCTCTTTCTATGATAGAATATAAGGGGTCATTTACTGCAAAATTCTCTTCAAAACGATTTCTTGCCTGGTCCCCTGAATTTCGTTGTAGAAAGAATTCAACTGTTTACAGTATACGGTATGAAAAATGAAAATTAGCTTTGAAAATTACGACACTGATATGGAATTTTAAACTTTCCCCATATGAAAAAAAAATCAAGCAAATGGTGCAATGCAGTTTTTTTTTCGCGACCTACTTGCTGAATGTCCGTGGAATTCGGAGGCCAACAAGGTTTGTTTTCCCTCGCGTCGCGCATTCCCAGCAAACATTCCAACGAAACCGGGATTTCTGCCCCAGCACTCGTCGAACTCATCGAAAGGTCAGATCAGTTAGAGTAAAATCCAAGAAAAGATGCCAGTCTTGCCTGGAATCTTTCAAAAAAGTCATGTGAAAATAATGTTCAGCATTGGAACCAATAGTTTTTCAGACTCTCAAAATGGACTTATGTCACTGAGCAGAAATGCCTTGAAAAGACTTCGATTTATTTTCATCAGTTGTATTCATGAATAGTTCAAATTATCAACTCGTATTTATAAATTTTAAAATAAATGTGCTGTATGAAAAGGGCGTGGGAAGATCAGAGAATATGTTGTTCATCTTCCAAGTGGAGATGACTCCTGTCCTTGGAAAACATTTTTTAAAGAAAAAATATATATATTGAAACACACGTGTTCAGTACATGATGCATTTTTTTGTCCTTGAAAATATGCTTCCATGAATTCTCAGCAGTCTCAAGTCTAGGGTCAAAGGAAACAGTTTCTTCTCTTTTTGCATATAGTTATTCATCTTCTGGAATCCGTCAGTGAATAATATGAAAATTTTTCCAAAACGTAGCGAACTAAAAAAAGGTGCTTCGCACTCCAAAAAATTTTCAAGCTATTCCTTGCAAATTTCAATCATGTTTCTGTTTTCCCGAAATTTGCAGAGGTGTAATCCAATTATGTCAGTGATTCAAAAATACTTGATTTGTATCGCCCTTGTTCTCAATGACCTCGGAATCGGACACTTGAAAAACACGTCGACGAACACTTGATAGGTGCTGAAGAAGTGGAATTTCTGAAACGTGTCATCGTCGACTCAAATGTTCCGGAAAGGAAATTGCCTTCGTCTCATGTCCATGACTGGGTAAATACATTTAAATAAATTGAATTAAATCCAAAAGGTGAACCTTGATAAGTCGAATTTTTTCAAGTCCTTTTCTGAATTCCCTTAGAATCGACGCATTAAAAACCTTGTCCCTAACTCAAAGTCTTTTTCTCTAAAACCTCTGTAACTACTGTAAGTCAAATTTTCTGAGTCCTTCTAGTTATTATTTCCTTGAAGTATGAAAGATAAAATCATTAAAGCAAATAATTTGAAGCATCGTGAAAGGAAGTGAAAGACTTAATAATACAGTATAGCAAATGAACCCATGACTCCAAGTTCAGCAATTCAGGTGTGAACTCATTAAGGAGCAAGTTTAGGCCCAGAATATCCTCATTTACAAAGTCCCACACTTTTTCACTTCTCCTCACAACAAAAAGTGTTTGTTTCCTTAACTTGTAAACCTCCAAAAATCAAAACTTCCCTACGTCAATTTCTTTTCTCGTGCCTAGAAATTTGACTTACAGGAAAAAAAATATTATTACAGAATTATTTTTTGAATGTGGCCACTAATTTAAAAAATAACGAATGATACGTATCTTTTTTCAGGAAGGAAGAGAGGACCAAGAAAGAAACCGAATCATCGCGGTGCCAAATAAACGACGCCAATGTCCAAGTGGGCAAATTTTGGATTACGCGGGAACATGTGTGGATTTCTTCCCATTTAATATTTTTCAATAATTGATGGAAATCAATCAAAGTTCCACTGATGATGGAGACGTGAAATTAAACTTTCATGGAAACCCATCGTGAGCCATTGTTAATTTATCTGAAGGAATAACGCTTTCGTCGAAAGAAACCATTCGCTGATTAATTGTTGAATTCAACTATTTTCTGCTGCTTTATTCATCTATTTTTCAGTGCGGTCCAAAAAAGATATTTCAATCGATCAACAGCAACAACAAACAATAGACAACAATGCAGGGTATCATAACATTTATTAATTAAATCGCCAGTGACATTATGGCATATATTTCAGTAAACATTCATTATTTTCCGGTCGACATACAATTGCATACTTTCGGCTGATCTTCATTCAATTGCAAGACGATGATCAAATAGGTGAGAATGAGTCCCAGCATCTGAAAAAAAAAATTATAAATCCTGAGATTAATTTTTTTTAAATGGATTTTTATTTATTTTAGACTATACTCACCTGAGTCATCATTTCTCTGCCCAATTTGAAATATCCATGAGCAGAAATTTGAATCGGTTGTTGCAATAAAATTCGATCCAACCTCGAGTCACTTGTTCGGAAGTGTTGCCAAGATTCTCTTCCTCTCACGATTTTCGCTTTTATTGCTTCGTCCTTGAATAAATGCTTTATTTGAAATTCGATATTACTCATTTGACATTATAATGATGACATTATAATAATAACGAGACTCCGAGCACAAATTTTATCATATGCTTAAGATATTTTATGCGATTTTTGCTTTGATAGGAAGAAAATATTTCGTTATTCAATGGAAATCAAATAGGGCAACCATTTATAATAAATATCAACTCTAAAATTTTGAGGATTTCGAATTTTTCCCATTGAATCGCAAATATGGCAAACACGGAAAAATTTTATTTTGAATTAATTTGCGTACTGTTTTTGAGTCCACTTTTATTGCTGAAATTTTTTACAAAAACTGTTCCTAAACTTATTTTCCCACACATTGGAATCTCAACTCTCGATCAAGAATTAAATCATCGTTAACATAATCACACATTTTTCTAAATAAATCTTTAAATATCTCCAGAAATTTAAAAAAATTAAAAAGATAATTAATATTGGCTAATTAAACTCATGAAAAAAAACCCAGTTAATAAACAGAAGCATATATCCTCACCAAATCCGTAATATCTTGCGCAGTGTTGTTTAGCATCAAAAAAGGGCTGAGGTAAACTATAGTCAGCCCACCATAAATGATCATTTCGTTGACAGAATCATCACTTCCTTTGATTGTTGACAATCTGCTTATGAAAACGTAGATGCAGACTAAGAAAACGACGAATAAAGTCGCGTGCAAAGCAGCAAAAAATCGTCCGAACGCTTCAGCGAATCTCTCGAAAAATTCGGACAATGCGAAATACGTTCGCGCCAATTCTGACTCAGTTTCCGAATCCAGCTTTCCGGCGAAGAAATAATTCTGCAGTTTTTCATGAATGGTTTGAAGGCAGTTTTTGCACTCCTCAGCGAATGTCCATGCATAGATTGTCAGCACCACCATGTGGTAGTACATCGAGAATGACCAGACATTCTGCAAAAATTCGGGCAATTCATAATTTTCAAGATTTTTTCATGTGAAAAATGTGTCATCATCTCACCTCTTACAAATATTCTAAAAGTTATGGCTTTGATGGTTTGTAAATTACTTTGAAATAACTGAGGAAATTGGCAAGTTGTGAGAAATTCGGGGGCGGAAAAAATTTCAGAAATTTTCATAACTTGTATAATTAATCAAGTTCCCTTTTCGAAACTTTTGACTATCCTCACCATTAACTTCAATTGATTCAAACATTCATTGCCTATAAATCCATCAACCAAGACAATATTGCTGGAAATTAGCATTTGCCAAATCACCATCTTGGATTTAGGCTTTGAAATAAGAGTTTTATCGAACTACCGCAAAAGTAGCAGGAGGACTTCACCTCAAGAGACCTCTTGATTTTTTAAAAACTAAAGGTAAGAATATTTTTGCAGTCTTTCAAAAGGTATTCCCAGGTGGAAAACAAGATGAATTTCTTGTCATTATTGGAGAAATCGATCAATCAAAAAAGTAAAAAAAATTTCACTTGCCATTAAAATCCCAATTCCGTCGATGACATTTCTTAGTCCGAAGAAAATGGAAACTTCGCCAAATACTAAGAAAATTGCGATTGCGAAAAGAGCTTTCCATTGCACAAATTTGTTTCTTTCCGTGGGAACGGCGTTCAAGAAGTTCACTCTGTCCTCGAGAAATTGTGCAAACTTTTTCCCTTGTGCCAATTGCACGACAACGCAGTAAGAATACCCGAGAGACACAATAGCGAGTTGCAAAAGCATGCAAACTAGCCGGGCTTCATCCGAAAAATTTGACTCGTATGCTTCAAATTCTAAAAAAAAAATTATATGAGATAGAAATCACGTTGAAAAACTATTTCTTGATTATTGTCTCGAATTTAATCTTACGGTCTCTGAAAACAACTGGAGTCGTCATGTATCCAATTGCACTTATAATGTTCAGCAAGGCTACGAATGATCCAAACGAAAATAAATTATATTTCGGACATGTGCTGAAAATTTCAGAAAACGGAAAAAGCCCGAAGCACAAGAGAATAATTTTCATGAGATTTTCTGGAAATGTCGACTTCATGTTGCAACAAACACATATGCCACACATTGAAAAAGACAAAGCATATATTATATAAAAGCCTCGCAACGAGAATTCGGATCAATGGTTTAGACCGAAAATCGACAGACAAACAATCAATGAACATTTAGATAATTATTCAGGACTGACTCCTAAAAATATTATTTATCGACGTTCGGATTTTTTTTTTTCTTACATATTTTCTGAATTAACCACAGCGGTCGGGAGAGAAAAGTTCATATTTGCATTAATTACTGTAATGCACGTACGTTTCTAATTAAAAACAATATTTCAGCAGCGATATATTGTTTAACAGATACAGCAGGCAATATTAACTGACTTCCATAAAAAATAGAATGAAATATACTGTAATAATACAAAATAAAAGCCCACATAAAATCGCACACTTGAAGAATTAATAGAGTATAGCTTCCTTTTATCCGTTGGCGTTTTCCTCTTGATTTGCTTGCAATAAAATGATCAAATACGTCAAAATGAGTCCAAGCATCTGAAAAAGAGGACAATAAAATGAATTTCACAGCAGAAAATTCAAAAGTAAATAATTTTATTTAAAAACCTGGGTCATCATTTGTCGGCCCAAGTGGAAAAATCCATAGGCTGACATTCGAATAGGTTGCTGCAGTAAAATTCTATCCAATTTGGACTCTTTTGTTTGAAATCCGGTCAAATTTCTCTTTCCCCTCAAAATGACTGATTTTATCTTGCCGTCCTGCGTACATAAAATTTTTTTTTTTGAATGCATAATATATCGTGCAAATTATTCCATCTGACGCAGAAACCTCGTTTTTGACATAAATTGACAGGAAAATCAAGCTTGTTCCACGCATACAGTGAGACCCGCACATGCGGACACCTCGACCTTCGGAAAATTCGACATAGGGACACTTATTTTCCCAGAAAAAATAATAAAAAAGGCCCGACATGAGAACACTGATTCAACATTTAATATAATTGCAAATAATTGATAAAATTGCAAATACATTCCAGGTTGAATTACAAGAAACAAATATTTCCAACCCTGAAATTGATGTTAGAAAAGTTCTTGGGTTCATTTCTCTCACCAATTTAACATACATTTAGCTAATTTTAAAAAATTACTTCCAGCATATAGAGGGACATCTACTTTTTTTCACTAGAATGTTATTTTTGTAATAGATACCATTTCAATGTCCACTACAGAGATACACTATTCAATGCTCCAAATGTCCTTATAGAATTTAAAATGTATTTACTGTTTCAAATTCAAGTGGCAAACAATTTTTTAGGGAATTCTGAAGAATATTTCTCCCATAAAATACCAATTAAAAATTATATAATGTAAGTCTATGGGAAAACAGACTCAACTTAGGGACGATTCAACTTATGGACACACTCTTGATGCATCTGTCCGCATCTTGGGGTCTCACTGTATTTGCTTAATTGCAGAGGAACATATAGAGTCAGAATATTGTTAAAAATAAAGTCCCTCACCAGGTCCATCACTTTTTGTGCAGAATTATTGAAGATGATGAAAGGAAACACGTAGGCTAGAAACAAGCCACCATAAGTAATCACGTCGTTAGCAGAATTTGTGTCTTGAATGGTTGAAAAGTTTTCGATAACAATATACGCACAGCATACAAAAATAGCAAATAAGGTCGCATGCAAAGCTGCCAGGAATCCACCAAAAGCATCAGAAATTCTCTCACAATATTCGGAAACGTTTAAATAATCATTCAATAATTTCAATTCTGCTCCCGAGTCCAGTTTTTCATCAATGAAATAGGATTTCAGCTGATCATAGACGTTTTGAAAGCAGTTTCTGCATTCCTCCGTCACTGACCACGCGTAAATTGTTAAAACGACATTGTGGTAATAAATTGGAAAGGACCAAATTCTCTGAAATATAAAAAAACTGGCATTTCAAATTTCAATAAGGATACAAATTTTGGGGAAATACTCATGCCTTTGCAGCGCCAAAAGCGCTTGGGATATTTCCACGACCGAGTCCAATTGCTAATTCTCCGAGTACAATGCAAAAAAGCACACAGGAAACGGCTTTCCATTTGACAAACTTATTTTTCTCATGTAATACCTCCTTCAAGAGATCATCCTTGTCTTTAATAAATTCTGCGAATCGTTTTCCTTGCGATAATTGCACGCCAATGCAGAATAAGAAACCGAAGTAGACGATAATTCGTTGCAATCCGGCGCAGATATCTCTGGTTTGATGCGTTTTTATCGAACGGTGAATTCCAATGTCACCTTTGAAAAGTATATTTTTTTAAATATTTGAAGTGGAAGACAACAGAAAAAAAGATTGAATGCCTCTTTTTAAGATCCAAGGAGCTGCGATGTAAAGAAAAGTTCCGAAGATATTTAGTAGAGCGAAAATCATTCCAAATGAACAGATTCGGAACTTCGGGGTTTTTCCAAAAGCATTGGAAAATGGAAAAAGTCCGAAAATGAGGAGAAAAAATTTTACGAAATTGTCAGCCACCGCTGTTGCAGACTTCATATTTTTTGACACTGTGATAAAGACGAACTACTTCATCAGTCAAGTCCAATCGTGTGATCGATTCAATTATCATATTTAGACTAGAGTAATTTCGATTTGTTGCCAGAAGGTGCATTTCTCGATTAATTTATCGCTTCACAATCTTAATAGACTGTTAACGAGGAAAATATGAATTAAGCACTTTCCCTTTAATTTATGGGCACGGCTTAATATACTGTAATGCATTGAGCTGCCAACCACCAATTGGCTTTGAAGAAAAAATGTTCCCTAATGGCAATAGCATTGAAAACCCAATCAAAACGCCATCTGCTAAAATCATTTCTTGGAGACATTTCTCAACAGTATCCAAGGCCTTGCTGGAAGGGCCCATTATTGGCAACAGTTGAAATCTTTCTGCAGATGCCCCGAAGGTAACAAAAATGCGAGGCTCTGTCGACCGCGACATCTATGAAACAACTTTAAAGAATAAAAATAGATGACTTTGCATGACGACGGAAGATGAAAGTACTACTTTTTAGTACAGCTCAGTTTATTTTACGTAGACCAAGACACATATTCCCTATGACAACTAATATCCCTTTTGGTGAATTGAGTACAGTATAATAAAATTTAAATAAAGCAGATTTAAATTTTACCGTCATTAGCTTCGGAATTATTGCTGAATGGATTCTATAAAGTTCTCTAGAATAGCAGAGTATTTTCCCCTGAAAAATATAGTTTTTCGGAATAATACAAGGCCAGTTCAGTAACAGTAAAATCCAAAAAAAAAGATGTTGGTCTCCTGTTACAAAATCTTTATGTCACTGAGCAGAAAGGCTATGACAAGTCTTCTATTTTTTTTTGTCATGTATCCAATTGCACTTATAATGTTCAGTAAGGCTACGATAATGATCCAAACGAAAATAAATTATATTTCGGACACGTGCTGAAAATTTCAGAAAACGGGAAAAGCACAAAGCACAAGAGAATAATTTTCATCAGATTTTCTGGAAATGTCGACTTCATGTTGCAATAAAACACATGCCACACATTGAAAAATACAAAGCAAATATTATATAAAAGCCTTGCAAGGTGAATTCGGATCAATGTTTAGACCGAAAATCGACAGACAAGCAATCAATAAATGAACACTTCGATTATGATTTATCAGGCCATGCACGACTTCGAAAACATTATTTTCAGAATACCTGACATCCAACAAGAATTTAATTATCCATCTTCGGAATTTCTTAAAATATTTTCTGCATTAACCCGAGCGGAAGAGAAAAATTCATTTTATTTGAATTAATTATTGTACTCTACTGTATGTTTCAAATTTACAAAAAAATAATTCACACGCTGCGTATATTGTTGTCCAATTTATCATCAGGTTGTTGAAAAACAAATAATCAATGCATAATTGAACTCCTGAATAAATAATTATAGCTTCCTTTTAGCCGTTGACGTTTTCCTCCCGATTTGCTTGCAATAAAATGATCAAATATGTCAAAATGAGTCCAAGCATCTGAAAAAGAGGACAATAATATGAATTTCACAGAAGAAAATTCAAAAATAAATAATTTTATTCAAAAACCTGGGTCATCATTTGTCGGCCCAAATGGAAAAACCCATAGGCTGACATACGAATAGGTTGTTGCAGTAAAATTCTATCCAATTTGGACTCTTTCATTTGAAATCCGGTCAAATTTCTCTTTCCCCTCAAAATGACTGATTTTATCTTGCCGTCCTGCGTACATAAACATTTTTTTTGCAATGCATAATATATCGTGCAAATTATTCCACCTGACGCAGAAACCTCGATTTTGACATAAATTGACTGGAAAATCAAGCTTGTTCTTCATATAGATTTGCCCAAGGAACATCGAATCAAAATATTGTTAAAAATAAAGTCCCTCACCAGGTCCATCACTTTTTGTGCAGAATTATTGAAGATGATGAAAGGAAACACGTCGGCTATGAACACGCCACCAAAGAGAATCACGTCATCGACAGAATTTGTGTCTTGAATGGTTGAAAAGTTTTCGATAACAATATACGCACAGCATACAAAAATAGCAAATAAGGTCGCATGCAAAGCTGCCATGAATCCGCCAAAAGCATCCGAAATTCTTTCGCAATATTCGGAAACGTTTAAATAATCATTCAATAATTTAAACTCTGCTCCCGAGTCCAGTTTTTCTTCAATGAAATAGGATTTCAGCTGATCATAGACGTTTTGAAAGCAGTTTCTGCATTCCTCCGTCACTGACCACGCGTAAATTGTTAAAACGATATTGTGGTAGTATATTGGAAAGGACCAAATTCTCTGAAATGTCAATTAAAAAGCTGG